GGGTCTGGTGATCCACCTGTACTGGGGCACCTTGGTTGCCTATTTGGGATAACACTATGTGATTTCTCATTGGATTGCTTAGAACTAAACCCATCTGTTGATCTCTCTTCATGATCAAGTCTGTGATGTATATATTGGCCATCAAGTCTTGCTTCTGGAGACCCTTGTGCCATGCCATTGTCTTCTTCATTATAGCCTGGTGATAACATAAGATTTCCCTCTGAGGGATTCCAGCCATTGTGTCCATCTGTTGAACATATATATATTATTTATTAATAATAGCTTGTTCATTAGTTATGTATCATGTCTTTTATGTTGGTCTATAAGTCTGGCATAGAACCAGGTACAATGTCATACTAAGGGATGCACATGGACCTTTTATATGGTATATATCCGAGACTGAGAGCTGGCGGATCAACGGGCATTTGATGGGTCAGCTATTGGTCTTAGAGCTGGTGTGGGACAACTGCAGTGTCCCACAAGGCTCTAGGTATTGGGGAGAATATGTTTTCCCAGCCTGAGGACAGGCGGTGGTGCACATTATGGGGTGCGGGGGCATTCCAGGCTCTTGTTCCAGTTCTGTCTGGTGTCTCTGCCAGCTCACTGGCGTCACTGGTTGCCAGGAGCTGGGTGGGATGCCGGCTATAGTATCCCAGGTTGATGGCCCTTACACATCTCCCCCCAGCTCTTGGCAACCTGAGACGCTCTGGCCAGAAAGCGTGCAGCAGGCACACTGCAAACGTTGTGCAGTAGAGTTCATGCCGCCCCCCACGTGACCTGGTTTTTCGCTCCCCATACTTTAAATTTGATGACGTAAAATAAAATGTGAAGTGCTGCATTTTGTGTATATAATACTTACCTGTGCTGATATCTAAAGAAGATTCCTCCTTTGTAAATGCCACCATAATTTCTGGTTCCTTGGACAGCTGATCACCCCTCACGTGCGTCTCTTCTTCTTTAACCTCAGTGTTCTTACTAATCACGTCTCTAAAATCACAAAATGATTGTTATCGTGTTGAGACTACATAGAAGAATATAATCTAATATCGGGTAGAGTCAGGTTTAAGTTAGACATCCTCAGTCCCATCTACCTGATTGTGAGGGATGGTGTAATCTTTCTGTGTGGAATCCCGGGAATACAGAGGACGGGCCTGAGGGATCTCCTGATGTTCTTTTGTGGAATCCCGGGAATACAGAGGACGGGCCTGAGGGATCTCATGATGTTCCTTTGTGGAATCCCGGGAACACAGAAGATGGGCCTGAGGGATCTCATGAGGTTCCTCTGTGGAATCCCGGGAAAACAGAGGACAGGCCTGAGGGATCTCATGATGTTCCTTTGTGGAATCCCGGGAACACAGAAGAGGGGCCTGAGGGATCTCATGATGTTCCTGTGTGGAATCCCAGGAATACAGAGGACGGGGACATCTCTCTGGTGGGTTCCTCTTACTGGATCCATCTGTAGGAAACACACACACTGACTGAATACATTGTTTCTATGTGTGTATCAGATGATGGGGGATCTAGGTGGACCCTCCGTACTGCTCTCTCCTCTTACCCGGTGATGTGAGGGGCGGCTCATTCTCCATCACGACGTCCTTGTAGAGACCCTGGTGTCCTTCTAGATACTCCCACTCCTCCATGGAGAAATAGACAGAGACATCCTGACACCTTATAGGAACCTGACATACACAATGATAGTCACCATCCAGACACATCCCTTGTCTGTTCCTGGATCATGTCCCAGAATTCTCGGCACCGCTCACCTCTCCTGTCAGCAGATCAATCATCTTCTGGGTGACTTCTAGAATATTCTTCTTGTTGTTTCTTTGTGGCATTTGCAAGGAACTAAGAGGGACCATAATGAAGTTCTCTCCATCTCCTGATGTCTTTTTCACAACGATGTTATCCTGTGGAGGGAGATGAGCAATCACTATATGTGATACTAACACTGAAGCATCTCTCCTTCAGAGATAATGATACTTCTCCATATATTTGAAAATAAGCCTTTGGGTTGTTTCCCGTCACATTGTATAAGTTACTGGTCACAGTGCAGGACGTCCATTTTTAACTTCTTGCAACGTAGGTGTCACGTACCTGAGTGGAGACCGACCGTTGAGGAGGCTTCGCTTGCAGCTCGTGTCCCTCGACCCTGAGTCGCGCTAAAAACACCCCATTGAAATCAATGGGGCCGCGCGGCGATCGCCGTCTGCATTGTCCAGTCACTATTATTATCACCTAAAACATGTCAGCTGTGCTACTTCCCATGGCCCAAACAGGAACACTCATGTGGGCCACACCGGTCATGTTTATGGCTGGAGTTCCCAAAATTCATGTTGAGACAAAATTATTTCCCCCCCAATTTTTTTTTAGTGTACGCATAGGCGCATTTTACGCGTGCAAACTCAACAAATTTTTGGCGCACGCAGAAGTACGCATGCTCGAATCTGGTGCATCACAATCATGCAACACATTAACAAAATGGCGTCCACCAGTTTTATTATTTCTATCGCAGGGAGTGCTGAATATAGAAAGTGGGGCATTTTTCGGCACTGCCAATTTTCATTTAGCAATTTTTGCCGGCAAGAAGAACATTTTAAAAAACCCAGTTTTTAGTAAAAAATTAAAAATCTCCCCCAGAATCCTCCTCACCTCCCCGGTCAGCAGGTAGATGATCTCCAGGGTGAGCCATAATATCCTCTGCGTCAGGCTGTCGCAGTTTGGCTCCATCGCTCGCACTCGGCTCCATTCACTTCCTGCAACAATAGTGCCCATTCTCCGACGCTCGGCCTCATGGGTAAAAGGCAGGCTGCTTGGTGATTGGCTCCTTGCGGCCATTTTGTTGTAGCCCAGCAGACCTGGAGGGAAAACACTGCTGGGCATAAAATAATGCTACCAACCTGAAGCCATGTTGTAGACACCAACAACCTAACGTCAGCTGAGAGCAAGAAGATATAAGGAGACGTCTGACGTGCTCATTTGGCCCTTCATTCATGGGCTACAAAAACAAAATGCCTGCCACCAAAAGCTTATCCGAATCCCTATAAGGCCGTTCAAAGAAGTTTAATATTTCATTACCTACTGTACTTTTCCTATCCACGTGTCCATACAGGACAACATACATATGGTAAATATATGGGCAATTGTGAAATATGTGGGCAACAAATGGGCAATTGTGAAATATGGGGGCAACAAATGGGCAATTGTGAAATATGAGGGCAACAAATGGGCAGTCGTAACAATATGCTACCTGTGATAAGCGGTATAAGCAGGGCCGGATTTACTCTCCCTGCTGCCCCAAGGCCAGGTTCCTCAATGCGCCACCATTACCCGCCACCCCC